AAAGTTGCTGAATTGTCTTATATACAAAGCACTTTGCAACGTAGTATACATAATTTGTTCCGTATGTCATATCACACAGAACAAATTATAAAAGAATTCTTAGCATCTACATATTAACAAATATTTAATATTTATATCAAATATTCTACAGTTTATGCTTGTTTTTAAAGATTTTAGCATTATATCATTATATACTGTCCATTACAATATTAAATTTAACATCTACTTGTTATAACATGCCATCAATAGTGTGACCAACTGTTTAGACTGAAAAATTTTATTAATACACCATTTTCTGCTGTCAAAAATCAGGGAGTGACTTTTATGCATGTAATATATTTAAACAACACACATTATTTTTAAGTATAAACTATATCCTGAAAGAAATTTTGACAAGGTAGCTATAAAAATGTCTTTAAAGTAGCTTGTGTATTATCAATAATAATGGCACTGTGTGACTAAGCGTTGACTCATTAATCCATTATGTTATTGATTTACTGAAGTTTCCAAAATCTCAGCAGTTTTTTCAATCTGTGTCTGCTATATATACACATACAAATCACATTTTTCTGTATATCCTAAAAATAAATAATTATTAAAATAAAAAAAAAACAGGCAAGCCTCTTTCGCGACTTTCTCAGCACTCGTAATTTACGAAGTTAAAGTTATGTGTGTTGCCGCTTGTTATTACGTTTTATTTTAAAATAATATTTATATTATTAATTATTATAAAAAGTAAAGGGCTTATTTTAAGAGTAGGACTGTATTTTTAAATAAATTATAAATGATAATAATCAGTAAAACTTCCAATAAGTCATTCCTCAATCGAGATATGATACGTGATGCCCTGACACTCCACTCCCTTGACCTTTCACTACTGAAATTTAATAGTATAAATGTTTCATATTTAGAAATAACTATGTCAAGTTTTGATACTTTCAGTTTATCCAGTCCTGAGTTATAATGCAAAATAGACACCCACACAGACAATTTATACAGGTTTCTTTCACATTGTTGGGCTTCTGAAGTTTCAAAGCATTGAGAAATGCAAAATACCAGAGGATTCAAATCTTGCTGATTACTTTACTATTCCTGTTCTACTCCGTAACAACCAGGAGAGTAAAATAGATTTAAGGAACAAAAATTTAAAGCATAATTATTAATTTTATAATAAAAATATAATTATCTTTTTAATTTAGATTTTAAATCCATTCCAAAAAAGAAATAAAATCAATTATGAAAATAATTGAACAATTTGGATATATATAATTAAATGATTTAAATAAATTTAACATAAACAATCAAGTACTATTTATTATTAATATCCAAATAGTAACACCAGATTTTTGGGCTATAATTATATATGAAATTCCATAATTTAAATTATCCACCTGTCTTGCACTCAAATTCTAGAATTTCAATATAATCAGTAGCTTAATTACAGTCCAAGAATATCTTGAATTGATATTTCATTATTAATAAATTTAACATATTATAATTTATTATAAGCAATACATTTTATTAAATATTTTAATTCCATTTTAAAATGTTCAGTTAAGCTGATTCAATTTAACTGCATTTTAATTATGCGCTTATAAAGTAAAACCTTGCTAAGTCGAACTGCATTGACTCAAAGCTGTCAACAAGTTTCGGGCATAGTACATAGAGTTTTTGGTCTCGTTAAATCAAAATTTTTGGTACTTTTAACTCAAATCTAATTTTCCATGTATCCTCTGCCCTTAATATATTTACATGCTTTATTTTCTCCTATATTCTGTGTGAATACAGATGATTAAGATAAATAAATACTGTCGAGGATAACATCATGCTATTATAACCTTGATTCAACATTCTTTTAATAATACTGTGTTTCCAGCATTTTAATTAGGACACAAGGAAGCACCTTGATGATGATGCCCTCAAAAGCTCTATAAACTGTATACAATTGTGTAATTATTCTATAATAAAGTTCTTGAAAAACAACTTAACAGGAAATTGATGGCCAGAGAAAAATTTGAGAAAATCAAGTATTAAAATTGTTAATCTGAAACTGATTCAAGATCGGAAAATTTTTACTCATTACACCTTCACTTAACGAGACTTTACTGTATATAATACATGATTTACAAAAATATATAATTCATGAATTCATCAAGCTTCAATATAATATTCTGATGATTTAGGATTATTTCAAACAGCTTGGCAGATCACATAAATGTAAATATGGCCCAATAGTATATAATACGTTATTGTTTATTGTACAATAGTAAATTTGCCCAGCATTGCACTGGTAAAAAGTAATAAGAACAAAGTTAAAATTAAAACCATATTAAAAGTTTTGTTATTTTAGGCAAATTCAAATCAATAGCATTATTTTGACAGAGCTTCGAAATCCAGAAAACCCTATACTTTTTCAAATCATTCCTGAGAAAGTAATTCACAGACTGTATGGTGTTTCATTAATTATTACTCAATGCTTATGTCTATAATAATACATTAAACTTAAATTATCACAAATTATAACAAAAGGGAATAAAATTAGAGAATGTCCAGATTATATGGTAGTCTATATTTTCTATGAAATCCTAGAGAGTGAATGAAAAATTTGATCCAGATTGGTCTAAAGCAGTGTTTCTCAACCTATAACGAATTGTCGCCCCTTCAATAAAACCATTACATAGCCCCTTCACTACAAAATTCCAATGCCCAGAGACAAGGCTAATGCCAAATTCATACTGCATTGAATAGACTAGTGACTAGTATAATGTTATTTGTTTAATTATTGTACAATATAACAAATAAAATATCTAATTATTCTTAATATAATATTTTACTATATCGCCCAGAAAATTGCTTTTCGCCCCCCCAAATTTAAATTGTTACTAATCGCCCCCTGAACATGGAAAAACGCCCACATGGGGGTGATATCGCCCCCATTGAGAAACACTGGTCTAAAGGTTAGGAGTGTACAGAGAACAAACAGACAGGCACACAGATATTCTATTATACATATATAGATAATTTTGTAGAAAAATATTCTTATATTTAGATAAGAAAACAATTTTTACCATTTATCTTCATGTTAATATCGCATTCTTTCCAAATAAAGATAACAAGTAATATGAATAAAAACAAATAAATTTTATCAATTAAATTATACATAATCTATAAAATATTAATCAGTAAAATATAATCTATATGTAAAATATTAAAAAATTACAAAGAAAATATTAAATATTTTTCAAAATTCAGGTTATGTATTAATACTTAAACTGAAATTAAAGTATTTAAAATTTGCTTCTCATTCGAGCATTTACAAAGTAAACAAAGTAAATATTTTGTTCTAGTAAACACTTTTACTTAAAGAAACATTTTTGGCCAAGTTTCCGATCATCTTCGACATACCATAACTCGATTAACAGATTAGAATGTAGAACATTATTCATTATTCGAATCTGTTAATTGAATTATGGTAAACTGAGGAAGATATTTGACTGAAATTCTTTCTTTTAATACAAGTGTTGATTATCTGAAAATAAAAAACAAAACCTACTTTGTATACTTATTTACAACATTTTTCTGCATTTCACGAACTTTTATGCAAAGTATTTACAATATAGTGGTTACTGCTTTCTAATATCAATCCACATTAACAGTACACTCATTTATATGTTTGGATTAATAAAAACAGTAATCCGAATATCTAACAGGGTATCGCTCAATCACATACAACCTCATATAGCAGCATTTAACTGGAAAAATTAACATTTTAGATCATATTTAACAATCCTCTTCAGGTCAACAATCATTAAACGTGAACTAACAACGCACCGTAGCACAGTGATGGATGGCCTCTTGGTGCTCTCAGAGCCAGAAAAGGCCTTAAAAAATAAAAAAAAAAAAGCACAGTGATGGAAATCTTTTTTGACTCTGCATGTAATTATCTTTAAAAATCCTTACATGTACTGAAGTTATAGACTTCAAATAATGACCTTTACAGAAATCAAACAAATATACTTTAATTATAATAAAGGTAAGAAGACGAGAAAATGACTATGATAACAAATATAAAACCTGAAACTAAGATAAATTTAAAAAATAAAAAATTGTATATGACGATCTTTCTTTGGGCTATAGATTCTTCACTTTGAGCTATAGATTTCCCAATCCTACCGTAGCAGTTACCTAATACTGAAAGAGTAAAAAAACTTAAATTTTTAATAAATATACACCAAATTTTGATCTAAACTCAACCAAATGTTAACCATGACATTCAAAAACAACTGGAGGTAAACCGTACACCTTTATAAATCTGGCAACGAATTTAATAAGAATAAAGAACATTTTCTATCAGATTCACCTATCTTCCTCGGTTACACAACGTAACGGAATAGAAGAAAAAGGTGTAAGTTTTTTATCAACCGAACGTTTCCCATAACACGCATTAACGATGGCACATTATCCCAAGGGCAAAAAGGGGGCCACAAACCAATTTTTCATAAGAAAATATTTCCCTCGCCATCTCTCCACCAGGAAAAAGTCGACACCATACGTGGGGGTCTCCTAATTCAAACACTCCCAGGCCCCATAAAACCATAACTTGTGATTTTCCTTCAGATTATCAAATGTAAACATTTCCATAATAATTCCCAATCAAACCATATTCATCACCTTCAATATAAAATTAGGAATCTAATCTACAAGACAAAATAATTAAAAGGAATTTAGTAGAGATTACTTTTAGCTAATTTTTTATATACACTTACATAGACTATTTAACTAAAAGTAACACCTACTGAATATGTATATATATATATATTTGGTAATTTAGGTTAATGTGATATTTAGGCTTAATACTTAATTAAAATTTGTAGCATTTACAAATGATATTTGTTTAATTCGGTTATTTACTTATATATAAACGAAAATGAACTCGTGATCGAAGTGTTAAGTCCGGTAGGTCAAAGTGAAATTGAACAACATCCGAGGTCAAAACTTACGTCTTTCCTTTTATTACTTCAAACAATCTTTATGACTAACGACATTTTCGTTTATAATATATCATTTTGTTTTTATATTATAAATACTTATAACTCTTTTTGTAATATTAATATATATCCCTTATCCGCCTTGGAGTGACCAATGTTAATACAATAAAAATGGTTAAGGTTATATCGATGATCGGACGAATTGGTTTGAAATTTTAGAAATATTAATGAAAACTTTTTTTTACGTAACTTACGTTAAAATCTTGTTTAAAATATTTATATCATAAGTAGAAATTTCTGAAAATCTTAGTTTAAGATTACTTTCTCGTTTTAAACATGGCCGGCATTTGGCTATTTTTTTACGTTGAAAGGCGAATAATGGATTCTTACAAAATGGCGGATGATATTGCGTTTTTTTTTTTTTTACAACATGTTTTAATGATATATCATAGAATTTATACGATGTTAATATTAAATTTTATTCCGGTTTTTTATCCAAAATATAAATAATTGATTATTTTTATATTTTTCTCTGAAGTTTTACAAAAGCGAGAATCCTCTTCGCCTATTAATATATCGTTTAAATTCTTGTTTTTATTATTAATTTACACTTTTCTAGGCATATGATTAGAGACATATTCTAATAAGAGAAAAATGTGTTTTTCCCGAGCAAAACCGGGCCACCGAGCTCGGTCCATCCCTATGAAAACGCATCTCGCTTTCATGCCGCGTGACACATAAAAAGCCAAATAATTTCACTCAGTTTTGTTACAGCATTTGGGCTCATTTATCGACAAGCTATTAATAATAATTTAAATTCGATTTCAACCGTTGGATGGCCTACCGCTCTGGGGACCCGAGTTCGAATCCAGACGGATCAATAATTTCTCAGGAATTTTTCGAGCGGTGGTCTGTCCGGATATGTCGGGGACCGAGCACTAAGAGGGCCTCTTTTAGCAAGCCTATTATGGGTTCGGCCAGGCCAACAATTAGGCGGCTGGATGGTGAGGAACGAGGCCAGACATATCCGGACGGTCCACCCCCGAAAAATTCCTGGGGATTTTTCGACCCGTCTGGATTCGATCCTCGGATCCCCCAGAGCGGTAGGGTGTCACCTTGACCGCTCGGCCATCTGGCCGTATCCCGAAAAAACTTATAAAGGAAAACGGTTCCTATTTAAATGTTATAATTCTATTTAAATGTTATAATTCTAAAGAAAATCCGGAAAACTGCTTTAAAGTTTAGATTTTCCATTTCTCATCCGACGTCGATGTTCCATTACGAACCCAGTCAGGAATGATCGATTATATTTGGTTTGTAATGGCGCAATTTTGATTGCCCATGTAACTTATAGTGGGCCGATAACTAATTAATAAGTCAATAATTCATTAATAAAACTAAATTAATTATTACTTCCATGCCCCCCACATCCTACAGCGGGGCCCCCCAGACCAGGATCATCGGCGAGCCTCCTTTCCCTTTCAGATGATATCAAAAAAGAGAGCATTTTTTGATTTTGTGATGTTCGATGTGAAATCTTGTAATGTGCCTATTGTCGGTTGTAAGTTTAAACTAATCTCACGACCATTAAACATGATTTCTTGCAAATATGCACAACTCCGCGAGGCCGATATTTTGACGAAGATGAAATTTCTTGGAATTTTTACAGGTTATAACGATCGACATGCACGTCCTTCCCCGAAGCTGAGGGTTTTAAACTGCTTTATATAGAACACGTGAGAATGTCACTTCACATGCATTTTTGTCTCAAGCCGAAACAGAGAAACTTACGCCGCGGAACTCAGTTTTGTTTTCCTAGAAAATAGTTTAAATTTATATTTTTAGCTAATTTCATAACAGAAATGTTGAATTTCCCATAGAATATGGAACACTTTTAATCTTCTGCAGTTTAACTGTTTAAATTATTCAAAAAAAAATGAATTTTGATAATAATTTAAGTAATTTTGAAAACTATTTCTCAGCATTATTCATTTTTACTAGTTTAATACATAATATTTAACGTTTAATTTCCATTTTCCATTAAAACCATTAAACTCTGGTAGTCTGGTCGCGGGTTCGCTCTTCATCAATGGACTGACCGCATGGTTCTTCGCGTGTCTAACGATGTTTTGCAAGTACTAAGGATGTCTATCGTGGATTCGGCCCTTAAAATAAAGGCGACCGAATTATTTAAAACTATCCAACCGGAATTGTTAAGAAATCACCTAAGAAAATTTATTTAGTTCTGACGTTCGGATCATCTTCAGAGTAACATGCTGATGCTTTACCAATTTAAATTAATCACACGGCTATTATCTTCATATGGTAGGTAGAATGGTGAAATTCACTCCGAGCAGGAATTAAGTTTAGACGTTTACTTCCAGCAAATTATAAAATGATTCCATTAAAAAGATTTGGAGGGTTAACTAGGATTAATGGAGGAGACTTAGGAGAGGATTAATTAACAAATCCATTATGAGTTCGGCCAAGCCCACAATGAGGAAGCCAGGTGGTGAGGGACGGACCCGACATATCTGTATGGACTATTCTCCGAAAAATCCCTGCATCCCCGGAGAGGTAGGCTGCCACCTTAAAAGAATAACAGTAAAGACTTTCACTTTGATGAAGACTTTTATATTATAAAATTTTTTAAAATTAAAATTATTAATTATTATAACCTTAGAAACTGAAAATCCATTTTTAAAATAATATGATATTTGGCTACTTTTCGGCTATTACTTTGTCGCCATTTTGACATTCGTCCACGCTTATTAAAGTGCACGTGTATTATACAAGATGGATGAGGCAACTGTTATTGAAGAATATAGAAAGAAATTGAAACAAGCGGTCTGTATTTAATTTAAAACAGAATTTCCGAATTAAAGTTAAAAGTTTTGCCATTTTTTCACTCCATCTTCCTTCGAGATATATAATTTATATTTGGCAATATAAAAAAAAATCTGATATGTCACGTTGTTTTGATTATTGATTTCGAAGAGTTTTATTGATCTTAAAGGGATTTTTGAACTCTCCTCCCCGTGTGGACCGAGATGGCCTTTTTAGCAAGCTCATTATGAGTTGGGCCGGGCCCACAATGGGGCTTGACGGGTGGAAAGAGAAGGGGCCCAACATGTTCTAAATGCATTACTTTAGACGTCTCATTTTCTAGCATTTTAATATTAAATCCATACTTTCACAGAGTTTTGGTGTAAGATTTGGTACAATCACATCTCTTAATGACACTCTGGGACTTTATCAAAGTTTAAGATCATACCTGTAGGAGCAAAAAAGGCAAAGGAACCATACCTCTACATGTGACCAATCTCAACACTCTACTGTGATCAGAAGTTACGTCGCTTGAATAAGGCCATCTTAACCATGCAATTATGCTGCTTTGAGTGGTCCATTTGACTGTTAGTGGAGTGCTTGGGATGTTATATAGTTTAAGGGGTGTGTCTCATTTGGAGTTTTTGTCTTACCAAGTTTTATATTTGCCAGTTGCCATTGGCATCTTGTAAAGGTTAAAGACCATTTGTAGGAGTAAAATACTGTAGAAATCAAGGGTTCAGTAGTGATTCTTTGAGATATTTAGCTCTCAAAGTGCTGTACAATGATAAAAGTTAACAAAAATTTAAATAAATAATAATAATAATGTTTGAAGTCTAATGGAGTTTTTATGAGATGACAGAAAGTCTGGTAGGAGTAACTTCTACCAGAATTTCTGACGCAATGTTATTTGCTGATATTTAGGGTGTGCGCAAATACTTCTACTGTATACAAAACTGTTTCTTAATAGTTTCAACAATTGGTTGAGCTATATTTTTAGAAATTTTCTAACTGTCCGGCTAAATGGATAGGGCATAAGAAAAATTTTGGATCAAAATATCCCACAAAAGTATTCCTATGATGTTTTTTTGCTAATGTAGGAATAACTTACAACTCTTAACATTAGTGATGGCTTCTAGCAATAATAATATTTTATTAATCATTTGTTTTCTATTTCTTACAGAAGTTTTTTGCAATTGTTTTATGTTTCTGTTAATCTACGTAGATTAATATTTTATGATTATAAATAGATTTAGTATAGGTTGTAAGTTAATTACATATGTTGATCAGTTATTAATAGTTAATAAGATATAAATTGATTAATTTTTAAAGTAAACTACATACATATATTGGTAACTATGAGTTATTTGGATCATATTGATTGAAGTAACTATGTTTTTATGAAAAATTTGGATTGAATTTCCTGTAGCAAAAGAAAGAAAAAAACGAGTGTTTTATGTATGAAAAGAAAATTTTGTGAGAATAATTTGATCAAAGCATATGTTTTCTATCAGTGGAAAGATTACAGGATATTACATGGAATATAGAAATATTAAAATTGATTATGATATGAGTATGTGTTGTAATGTTTAAATTCAATTATCTGTTGAATACCACTGAATAATACATTAAAACTGTAAATTCAAACAAACTAAACTAATAAGTACCAAATCTAAATATGCAGATTCTTAAAAATATAATCATTGTTATAATTATAGTAAGCGTACAAGACTTGAGAGGGAAGCTGGAGATTTTTTCCTGAGCCTGGAGCAAATTTAGGTACCTCTATAAATTAATGCTAACAAAAACATAAAATCTTTAAGATTGCTTTTTATTAAAAAAGAATCGTTTTACGAATTTCATCTGTTCAAAACAAAAAGGGGCATACTTTACCTCTCAGGTCCCACACAAATGCTTGACAGCCCTGTATACATGTTATGTTTTCTTAATAAATTAATTAAAAACTTTCTTTTACTTAATCAAAAGATTACTTATAAGATTTTTGTTTTCCCTGTTATTATCACACATGATGATCATGGAATAAAAGCCTTGAAATTGTTTTCAATTAAATGAAAGGAGGATTTTTGTTCATTAAATATAAGGGATCAAAACTTTGATATGATAAATATTAATTTTATATTTATATAAAGTTAAATTCAGACCATAGTGGTGTAACTGAGTGATTAATAATAGGTTTGATTGGTTTTATTTGTATATGGCAATGCGACACATGGGTGATCTGCTGAGGTGAAATGTCTCCTGGGAGGTATTTTGTGGGGAAATTGGTGTTACTAATGTGAAGAAAAATCCATGGTATGCATTGTTGATGAGGTGCAAACCCACAATCCCAATTGTCGGTGTTTAGTGGTTTTATCCACTTAACCACTAATAAATGATTTGGAATAGGACTTTCTGCTAAAAAAAAATATTCAGAATCTGCAAGGTTGTTTTTTTATTGTTTTGGGCAACAACAACAAATTTTTTTTGTTAAATCTTTCTGCTCAGTGGGCATTAAGAGAGCTTTTTTTTTTCTAATCCATTATGGGATTGACCAGGCCACAATGAAGCAACCAGATAATGAGGAACAGAATCTGTCATCCAGACCACCATCCAAAAACTCCTGGGGTTTTTCAACCTGTCTGGATTTGATTCTGGGTCCCCAGAGCAATAGGGTGCCTTCTTAATCATTCAGTCATCTGGCTGTCAATAACTTCATATCATCAAAATAAAGAATAGCTTTTAACATAAATATTTTGAACTGAATACCTATCATTGTAATTTGAATTGGTTGTGAGTAAGTTTTTCTTCATGATTGTGCAATATATTTGGTTGAAGATGTTAATAATTTTTATATATATCATTTAAATTTGCTGCTACTAATAAAATTAAGCTTTCCTATTAATTTTTATTAACTTAATTTTTAACTAAATTACTGAATAAATTTATTATTATTTGTTTTTAGGAAGAAGATATTCAGATGATTACAAGTGAACTTAATGATCTAAGAAAAATAAAAAATGGAGATCTGAATGGAGTTCGATTGCCAGCGGAAATAGAATTACTTCAAGCAGAAAATAATAAATTAAAATATCGAATTGGAATATTAAAGCAGGTACTTTGTTTTGTGCAATTTAAAAAAAAAATTTATTTTTGAGAAACAAATATAGCATATGGATTTAGAAAATAAATGAATGAAGCCTTAAATTATGAAAATAAATAAACAGAATAAGTGCAAGTTAACATGAAACTCATATTGATGGCTTATGTACATATACATACCTAGGTAAATCTGCATTTGTATCATTTAAATCAATAAACTAGTAACTACTAAAAAGTTTATTTAATTAATAAAGTTCAATGATAGGAATTTTATACTTAAATTTATTTCTAAAGTGCACATCTGTTACAAAATAGAAAAAACTTTATAAATGGCTATGAAAATATAATTAACAGTTTTTGTTTATGTGAAATAACAGAATAAATATTTTTCTCTTATTTTTGGCTCTTTCTATCCTTGGGCATATAAAGAGCCTTTTTTTACCCATTATGTGTTCCTTCAGACCCACAATTGGTGACTAGGTGGTAAGGGAGCAGGGGACCTATTCTGAGTATTATCGTTAAGGTAACGAATATGAATGTAATGAAAGTGTAAACAACATGGCGTCTTTTGGTGTAAGAATGATTTTAACTTCACGAGCAATTAGAGAGAGAGTTAATAAACTATGTTGGTGTATTGCTTAAAAATAATTACCTTAACTATTTATGAATATTGTATAAATAATGTACAGGCATACCTCGACTTACGTCGTTTCGAGTTACGTCGTTCTCGATTATACGTCGCTTGTTAAAAAAGTATATGGAAAAATAAAAATCAGGTTTAAGTCATTTTATTCGACTTTACGTCTGTTTGCCACAAATATTGAAGTCGTAATATCACTAGATAAACGTTTAAAGCACATAAAATCATATTAAAATATATAGAAGTATGTACTGTATTTACAGTACATGCATTCGTAAATTTAGATTACTTTTTTTTGTACTATATTAAAAACTAAAATTTATTTGTTTGTAAGCTTAAAATAGATTTTTATTAACCATATATTATTAAAAATGCATTAATAAATAAAATACAGAACCGGGAATGGTAATTTAAGATTTAGCCTAGTAATAAGTAGATTCGGAGACAAGTAAATTCGACTTACGTCGTTTTCCTGGAACCAATTACCGACGTAAGGCGAGGTATACCTGTAATTGCTTTCTTGTTAAAATTTAAAATAAGTAGCTATAGCATGAGCATTATATCTGAAATAGGTTTCATTTGCATATGTATAAATTAAAACGATAGTCATATATTTATATATTTATATTCAAAGCTATCAGTTACTTTTTGCCATCTTTCTGAGTCTTTTTTGTGAGCCGACTCCATCGGAATTTAGATGGTTGGCTATTTCTTGCCACAATTTCTGATTATTTTTTACGGTAAAGGAAGCATCTAACTTCCCTGACATTAATTTAGGGTTGTCTTCCATAAAATTAACAAGCATCTCAAACTGGCGACTTGTAGTTCGCTGGTTTCGTTTGCCTTTCTTCGACATTTTAAAACAAAACTATTCACTAGCGCTGGTACATGACAATGCTTAAACCATGTGCTTTGGTTAGAAAATGGCAGATTGCAGTCATGTGACAAAAATGCAATATTAACTAAACTGTGATTTGGTTAAAGCGTAATAGCTAACAATAGCATGGAACTCAGACGCATCTTGACTGACTACTCATAGTGAAACCCACTTAACGTGGAGCACAGAATAGCGATTTGTCTAAGGTTCGTTAACTGTCTTTTGCTAATGGGACTTATTGAATGTCCTGTGTATCGCTCTCATTGAGTTATCTGAAGAGCTCAGAATAGGTCCCTGACCTATCCAAGATAGGCTAATCATGAAAATTTCTGAGGATTCTCACCTGGATTCAATTCCAGGTCCTCAGAGTAGTAGTCTTACTACCATGGCTATCTGACTGGCAAAAGAACAAAGGCTTTATGAACAAACTGAAAGAAATATTGTTTAAAACATTTTAAAGATGTTTTAATTTTTATATCAAAAGGATGTCAAAAAAACGATTAAAAAGATGATTTTTAAATTAAAACATTTAATTAATTTGCTGTCAAAGGCACTTATGTCAAAAACAATAACTAAACTATAACATGATATTTAATAACTAAACATATTTAAAAGCCAGATTATGTTAGCCAGCTGTTACTGAAAATTTCCTTATAAACTTCAGTTAACAATAACAAAATAACGCTTATATTGTAACCCTCAATTGCATACTGTTCTATAGTGTGGTTATCTTTATAAAGTAAAATACTTTTAACTGGTCAGAAGAAATACTGGTTGACCAATCAGCTAAAATTAGTTTTGGAAGAATGCTGAAAAAGCTATTTAAATATGTATAATTTAATAATATTTTACTTAGAGTGTTGAAGAAGAGGAGTCCAAAGAATCTCAGAATTGTATGGTGAATTGTTTACAAGAATTGAAAAAAGTGTTTGAAGTTGCAGTTAAGAGAGCATATCCAAATGTTGAAGATCCTCCTATTGCTGTAGTACCTAATCCAAGGGAGAAATTTGGTGATTATCAATGTAACAGTGCTATGCAATTAGCTCAGGTAAATTTCATTTATAAAATATTCTTTAATAATAATTAAAAATTATTTTTGTCAATATAAACTGTATATTGCAGCTGTAAATATGTAAAGATATACAATTTTTAAGGACACATATCAAATAGATTACATTTATATTACAGTTGTTTCGAAATCAAGGCCACAGGGTAGCACCTTATGAAATTGCTCAAAAAATTATTATAAATTTACCAGAAAATCCTATTATAGAGAAAACGGATGCAGTACAAGCAGGATTTATTAATGTAACATTGAATAAAGAGTATGTTAGTCAGCTGTTATCTTCGATACTTACAAATGGCGTTCAACCACCAAATGTGGGACCGAAAAAACGAGTCATCGTCGACTTTTCATCTCCAAATATTGCAAAAGAAATGCACGTAGGTCATCTCAGGTGAGTAAATGGAACATTTATTATGACTTTTAATGAGATTTGAAGTATTGAAAAGGCCTTTGAATTACAGGTCAACAATCATAGGAGAGAGTTTAAGTAGGCTTCTTGAATTTGTCGGATTTGATGTACTTAGATTAAATCATATAGGAGATTGGGGAACACAATTTGGTATGCTTATTGCTCATCTCCAAGACAAATATCCTAATTTTGCTGAAGAAGTTCTTCCCATTAGAGATTTACAAACTTTCTATAAGGTAAGAATTAGTCTTTATGAAGTGTAATTAAAAAATTTCTCAAATATATGTTAATGCAATGTGAAGTTCTAAATGTTAGCATTAATTTATATAAAAAGCTAATTAAATCAATTTTTAACACAAAATTATAAGAAAGAGAATGTTTTCAGCATTGTTAAATGGGCATCTTCAGGCTAACTTAACTTTGCAGCTATTAAAACATGGGAATTGCCATCCACATGTTAAAAAGGACAGTGTAAGGGAGGGAGAGGATTGTAAGATTAAAGATCATAGATCAACTTCTGTGTAGGGGGAAGAAATCTACACTTTGAAAGTTTATAGCTGCATTTTTTTTGCAAGAAAAACTGCTGCTATAAACTTTTAAGATGTAGATTCCTTTGCTTTCATTCCAAAATTATAAGAAAACATTCACTTCATTATGCTGGAAATTAGTTACGTTTGCTTTGTTTATTAAGTATACCCAGTTTTCATATTTGATCATTCATTTTTATTATTATTAGTAATATATTTAAAGTTTTTGACATGTAAGCATATAACATATAATGTAAAGACATTAATAATTGACACGGCCTAAAACAAAAATCACTACAAGTTGATATATTATTCGGTTATCAATAATTGATATTTCACCATTAACATCAATTAATGTAGATAAGTGATATTTAATTTTATCTCCAGTAGCAATCATTTTTGGCATTGGAAGTATGTCTATAATTTGTGAATAAGTAATAATTCTATTATTGGATTCATTTTGTTTAAAAAGTATTTTTGTCATTGCAAAAATTCATTGCCATAACTTCAAGATTGACTTTTGTATCTTCTAAAGAACACATTCATATTTGTATAGATTTTTTCCCCCTAGAAAATATGTTGGAAATGTTAGCTATTAGTGTACTATCAAGCTAGTGCCTTTACTTGATATTAATGTAACAAATTTAGTCTGAAGGTAGTGACCTAGCTGCTAATTTTTTGACCAAATTTGTTAGTTTAATTATTATTTTAATAATTTAGAAATAGTCTAGTTAATTAGTTGATTAAATTTTTGATAATTAAATGATAAGAATGAAAGATAAAGTTTATTTCATAGCTGTCTCATAAATAGGGAATTCGATCCCGGTCCTTATTTCTAATCCTGGGATTTCGGGATTATACTTATTCGATCCCGGGATTATTTCGGTATTGAGGGTTAATAAAAAATAAGAAAATCTTACAGAAATTAAAAATCAAAATTTAGGCAAAAATCAACATATTTTACGGTATACACCTAGTTAATTTAATCACTCTAATTAATCAGACTTACAGTCAGACTAACCAGACTTAAAATCACTGTCTTCATGTTAAAGTTATTCTTTTTTAAGCATCACTGACATCTCTTTAAACTCACATAAATTGAAAAAACTTTTATGTAACAAACTATGCAAATAAACGTTGAAAATTCACAAAAATCTCTCTTAACATCGACTAAATAGACTACTTTCATATAACAACCTAGTAAGTAGGTAGTAAAGTAAGTTTCTTAGGAAAAAGTATTTAAAAATAATATTAATCAGTCACATTTTTCTTAAATATAAAGAAAACTAATTTAATAGGAACATTCTAATTTGAATTGCGAAAATATGATCTGAGAAATAACAATGCATCTAGTGTCTCATCACCAAGTCTGCTTCTCAATTTGTTGCACATATATGCAGCTGCAGAGAAAACGCGTTTAGGTTGATGGAAGTTGGAGGAATCGTTAGTAAATACTTATAAGCTTCGAGGACACGGGGAGGATGGAAGAAAACAGTCCGGTCGACACGGATCGGGATTGTAGGAGTAAAGGCTATAATCCCGATTGTTTCGATCATTGTAAGCATGTTTTTCAAAAAATAAATGCGTTAATTTTGTAAATTCGGTCTCTGTGTGAGTCTCTCAGCATTCAGCAAACCACTACCCCGAAACGTAAAAAGACTCTCGCATCATCCTGACAGATCGCGGACAAGGCGAGGGTCATAACCTTTTCACCTAAGGTCGACCCCCCCTAAGCGAGTAGCGTCAGGTCTATATTAACCACACTGGCAAAACAAGATGGCTGATACATTGACAGGTAAAACGCATTTGAAATGTTTGGCATTTTTTCTCCACTCAAGCATTCAATAATTTTTCTCTATTTTAAACGTTTTATGCTTAATTATTTATTTGATGAATGTATGTTTCATATATCTTATATACAGTCGATTCCCCTATAACACGGTATATACGTTCTGTTCTTTATGAATCCATTTTGTACGAGTCCTTGCCAATCACAGCCAGGCACGTATGCACTTTATGGACTATGGCTGTTTGAAAGGTTTTCTTCCATAAAATTAATCGATTCCTAGACTAATTCGACTCAACATTTCCAAAATACATATATTTTTTTGGGAATAATCCGTATAAACTATGCTATAAACAAAAAATTGTAGGATTACTTACCGAGTGTGCACCGTTCGACTATGCCGTTGCTTAAGCTTGTTTTTGTAGCGGAGCAGTGCACCAAACGGCGGCTGCAATTTCTGATAAGTTATTTTTCTGCGAAAACTTCGTTGAACTTTGGAGACATCATTAATATAAATAATTTTTATGGCCGTTGAATAAGAAATGTTTCTTTCACAAGAAATGTATAAAATTAGTGCTGTATTAGACTTACGGTACCTAATTTACATACTGTACAGACGATAGCTCGCCTAAACTCTCCGTAGCGTGGCGCTAGGCGGCAGAAAGCATATATATAATTATAATAAAGTTACAATAAATTAAGTTAATATATAATTATATATACAGTACCTAATTTATATATAATTAATATACAATCATATGTACAGTACCTAATTTATATATAATTTATATATAATACTGTACAGACGATAGTAAACTCAATTTACCCGCCTAAACTCTCTGTAGTGTGATGGTGGAAAGTAGTTTGGCTGCCTGATAACGTTTTACCGAATTATAGCGGTTTTTTTACCATGGTGTACGGATACCGTCGCAATTTTTTCGCCGTCATACAGGAATCCAAACTATAGGAACCCGTGTTATAGGGGGGTCGACTGTAATTATTTCTAGAATAGGTAATGTAATTCTTTCAGTCATCTGATGGTTTTTCTTATTGCTGAGAAAAAACCATTTGAAACTAATTAATTTAAGCAAGACATCCCATTATTATATTATCTAATTATGTTTGATTTTAGCTAAGTGGATTGAATTATCTTGTACTTGGTCTGTTTGTATTGAAGAAACTTTCTGTTTCATATGTCAATTATGAAATAAGTTCTTTTTGGAAGAAGTAAGCTTTTGTTATTAGAAATTAAATGTTACAAATTCAGTATTGCAGACTATAATATGCCTAATTGAGAATGGTGTCAAGAAGCATTTCATGTAATGACATGGCAATCAGCTTAACCAGTACAAAATTTTCTCATTAACATAAGAAAATTTCACTCCTTTATGAATAATATAACTGTATTTCAGTGTAGTAAAATTTAACTATAATGAAATCATTTTGAAGATCCCACAATTTCTTTATAATGAGATTTTACTCTACAAAGTAGTAATGAAACTAATCTAATAATATACTTATAATTATACGAATTAAGTGGTCAGAAATTTTTTTTACAAAATACTATATTAGCAATTATAAATATCTAAATAAATAAATAAACATACATAAAAGTTTAGAATAAAATAATCTTCTGTTTTATAAAAAAAGGAATCTAAAGTTCAATTTGACGAGGATCCCGAATTTAAGAAGCGAGCTTATTCTTGCGTAGTTAAATTGCAACAACACGATCCACTCATGATTAAAGCTTGGAAACAAATCTGTGATATTTCACGTAAAGGTGAGTCAGTCTTAAATTACGCAATTTCTTCTGAAGTTGTTAAAAAATTGTAAATTCATATTGTATTTTTAATGACAATATTGGCATTGTTTATGCCACATAGATTTAGATTTGTTTGTGTATTGAGAAAGTTGTAAATTTGCATTTTCTGAATGTAGATAAGTTTTATGATTTACAGGAAGTGTTTTCGAGTATTGAGTATCCACACTTTTCTCAAAAACTGAACTAAGAAGAGTGAATATATAAAGAATTTGTTATAGGAAAATGCATCCCTTACCTTTATCTTTACATGTATTTACTGAAATATATATTTTTACAAAAAATAGGAAATTTGCTAAATTCCTTTCTTTATAAATTGAATAGCTTAGGATAAAACTGATGGAATTATTTTGTAATTTCAGAATATCAAAAAATATATCAAAGATTGGATGTCACTCTAATTGATAGAGGAGAATCATTTTATCAAGATATGATGAATGATGTTGTGAAAGAATTAGAAAATAAAGGTTTGTTTATTTTTAATGTTAAGGCAATACACATATACATTTATTTTAGAATCAGTCTGCCCTAGGAAATATTTTAGTGTATTTTCTGTAATAATATTTCTTTCTGGAAGTGTCTTCTACATGTCTTGCAATATTGTCATACTTGATTTAGTTGCATTTGGTCTCCTAAGCATCTCTAGACAGCATTAAATAGGGTTACTTTAATTACATTTGCTCAATATTTATGGATTGCTGTTTAATTTCACTAATTAATTTTCTAAATATTGAAGAATAAAACTTTTATTTTATTAGGGCACTTGATTGAAGAAGAAGGGAGAAAAGTAATGTTTGATACCCAGTTTCCCGTGCCGTTAACACTCGTCAAGTCTGACGGAGGTTATACTTATGCTACGTCGGATATGGCAGCCATAAAGCATCGTATCATGGAAGAAAAAGCAGACTGGATATTTTATGTAGTTGATGCTGGGCAGGTTAGTGATTATTAAAGTATTTTAATTATCATTCTTTTTATCTAAGTTATATGTTATTTATTTCAGAGTCAGCACTTAGAAACTGTTTATTCTTGTGCTAAAAATGTGGGCTGGTATGATCCAGATAAAGTACGAATTGAACATGTTGGATTTGGAGTTGTGCTTGGTGAAGATAGGTAAATTAAAAATTTATTGTCAACTAATATTTACGGATTGATAAAATAATCTAATTATTTAATTATGAAACATTTAATATATTTTCTTTTTAGTGATATTTCTTTTTATTAGCTGAGATATTCTCAGATAGATAAATGTTAGGAATTCTTTCTAATTTATGCTTTTTATATTTGTAGTGTTTTTAACACAGTTTAGAAATTATGTACAAGTTTTGTACTACATGCTGTTTTTTCAGTATAATATGATTTTGGAAAGACATTAGTGTACTGGAAATGCCTTATTTCATCATTATATGGTGCTTTCCCAGCCTGTCTTGAGTTGCCGTAGGGTTTATTGACATTTGGTCTTTTGAAATAAGTACTGCTTGATGAAATGATTTGATATATGCTGGGAGTTTGAAGTGCTTTCATGTCACATGAAAATAAAGTCTTGATTCATTGTCCTGCAAGTTGAAGGACTAATAAGAGTCAAAGGAAAATCATGTGTAAAGATTGGGATCAGAAAAACATAATTACAGTACATAAATACTCTTATGGGATATGCAGTAGATTTTAATTTAATATATTGCTTTCAAGAAAGCATCTTCCATATACCGTATTTTACAGACTATAAGATGCACTTTTTTCTTTGAAAAATTGCTTCAAAAATTCAGGTGCGTCTTATACTCGAAATTAATATAAAAATATCCAGTGTTTGATTTAAAATTCTCATGTCTTAAAAATGGTCATATATTTGATGCTGCGGGAAACCTATCTCTATCTGGCAACATTGAATTCAACTGGCAGCAGCAGTGCACCGATGCCACGAACACGAGTTGTGGAGTGTTGGGATAGAATCGCCTGGATGTACAATTCCCACGCTTTTTCTTTTTTCAAATGAACAACGGTTGTCACCATAGAAACTCGGATCACGAGACGACCGGTGGTTCTGAATCCACGACCATGGATTGGCCAGCGATCATTGTGCTACCATTGTATGATCAGTAGACGTTCAATAGCGCTACTAAGCATTGATTGGTGGATCAGCGTTTGCTTCAATTTGTATAAAAGGATTGAATTTAGGCGGTAAAAATGGTGAAAATGTTATTTTTTTTAAAAAAATTGCTTAAAAATTAAGGTGCATCTTATAGTCCATAAAATATGGTATATATAAAAACAATAGCATATGTACTGGTACATGATACATGATATATTAGATTTATTGAATGATTTGCCAGATGTCTTTTTATTGGGTTTTATTCATGCTAATTAATAATTTGAAAAAAATAATTTATCAAGAGACGATTACTCTGTTTCTGATAATTAATTAGCATTAATACAGCCTGATAAAGAAAAATTCAGAAGATCATTTGGTGAGCTAAGAATTTATTGATGAATATAGTTATGAATTTAAATACAAACAAAACTTTTTTAACCAGTAACAGAACATTAACCTGAGACAGTTAAAAATATGAGGACGGCCTTGGTGAAGGCCAAAAACATTCAGAAGTTGCATTAAAGTTTTGTTACTGGTTAAAAAGGTTTTGTTTGTATTTAATTACTGCAGTAATTTGAGAAGGAGACAGTTATAATTATAAATTTAATATTTAGCAAATGTTTTCATTTAAACATTTTCTAATGAACTTGAAAATAATAAAATATATATATATATATATATANNTATTTACATACATATGTAAAAAAATAACGTTGTGTATCAAATTATTTCATTTAAAAAATTTTAACTTTCAGAAAGAAATTTAAAACTAGATCTGGAGATACAGTTCGATTAGCAGATTTGTTAGACGAAGGACTAGAAAGAGCATTGCAGAAGTTGAAAGAAAAAGGAAGAGATAAAGTAATTTTTAAAAATCTTAATTACAGAATTTAAAATTCAAGACAAGGACAAATTCAATATAGAAGTGATTAAATTTGTATCTTGAATTTGTTTAAATATTGTAGTTTTGTAAATCTTTCTTAAAATTTATCTGTTATATGATTTACTCTGATTTATAAATTGAAACGATGAAAACTGAAAGAACTATTCTTGAACTAATTTATATTGTTGATTGTTAAGTTTGTTATATGATGTTTGTAAATGAGATAATGAGACTGGTTTCATAGCAAATGATCTGGAAACAGTGTGGGGTTTTTTTCCAGTGGTGTAAGGACATACAGCTTCAGTTCAAGTGAAAACCTTGTCACATTAACTAGTGAACCGTGAGTCCACATTTTTCAAAGTGATATTTTCTTTTGCATTCCGAAAATGAATGAACATAGTTACAAACAACGTTGTGCTATTAAGTTTTGTTTTAAACTCGGAGACAATGCCACTGAAGCGTTTGCAAAACTTCAACAGGCCTATGGGGAAACTGCTTTGTCAAGAGCCCAGGCTTTTAGATGGTTTAAAGCATTTTCAGAAAACCGAAAATATGTTGAAGATGACCCTTGGCCAAGAAGGCCATCAGCTTCACAAACTGATGCAAATGTGGAATGAATCAGAGACCTTGTACGATCTGATCGTTGGATAATTGTGAGATTGATTGTAGATGAGCTGAATTTGAATCACACAACCATTCATCAAATTTTAACCAACAAATTGGGGTTGAGAAAAATTTGTGTGTAAATGATTTTCAAAAACCTCACTTCTCAACAAAGACAAGAGGAAGGAAGTGTGCTGTGATCTTATGGATTGGATTGAAAATGATCCAGATTTCCTCACAAATGTCATTACGGGTGATGAAACATGGATCTTCGAGTACAATCTAGAAACAAAACACCAAAGTGGGGAGTGGCACACAGCAACCTTTCCACAGCTGAAAAAAGCGAGAATGAGCAAGTCAAAGATCAAACTCATGTTCATATGCTTCTTTGACAGCAATGGAATTGTCCGTAAACAATTCGTGCCTCAAGGACAAACTCAATCAGCATTTTTGCTGTGAGGTTCTTGAAAAACTGTGAAAATGTGTTTGTTTTGTGAGGCCAAACATCAAAGAGATCTGAATGCTGCATCATGACAATGAACCTTGTCACACGGTGCTTTTGATTATGGAGTTTTTGACACGGAAAAATATTTTTTGTTGTCTCTCATCTTCCATATTCACCTGACCTGAGCCTGTGTGATTACTTTCTCTTTCCCAGACTGAAACAACGCCTCAAAGGGCATCATTTGGCATGACAGAAAACAAAACAGGCTGTAACCAACCAGTTGAAGGCCATTCCACTTTTTGCATTCCAGCACTGTTACAAAGAGTGGAAGTACGTCTCAGATGCTGTATTGCTTCCCAAAGGGACTATTATGAAGGAGACAAAGTTGATTTGTAGATTAATTATGAATACAGATATTTACAGAACAAGTCTCATTACTTTATTTACAGACCACGTATGTAAGACAGGATAAACCCTATAACATTTATGCAAAATCTGGTAATAAACAACGAATTGTTACAGTTGACTTACCTTAAAGCAAACAGTGATAAAGCGAATTTTGCCATTGCTGTGACAAAATGCCATTGTCACAACATTAATTTTACAACATACAATAAAGCAAAAAAATTTTACCAGAATTCGTTAAGCTGAACTGTAAATGAACTCCACAACCCTCACAAAAATAACCCTATTTTCAGCTATGGTTGCTATTTGTTTTTTGACGTGAATAATAAAAATTAGTACTGTAATAAATATTCTGTTTTGAGTAGAATAGTGCTTTTCTGCTCAAAACAGAAGTAAACAAAGACAAGTTTGACTGTCTCAGAAAATAGAGGTTAAAGTGGATGCAGTTTCAGGCAAATTTAATAAATTTAATACTGTTTAACTTTATTTAGTAAATTAATTTAAAATACTGTATTATAGTTTAAGAGATTTCAATCATCTGTTAAGCCTTAACTCTCTAAATTATATGACCTTGGCCTTGACCCTAAAACTTAATATGAATTATTGATGAAGTATACTAACTACTGTTCCCCTGGCAACTTATATTAATGCAAGCTGACTGTATTAAAAAAAACAACCAGAATTTGATTCATGTTTTTTAACTATACTTAAATTTTAATGAAAAGTATGACTATATTTTAAACTTTAATTATTATTTTTTAATAAATAATAATCATTATTATAGGAACTTACCAGTGAAGAATTGAAAATGGCTCAAGAAGCTGTGGCGTATGGTTGCATTAAATATGCTGATTTATCTCATAATAGGAATCATGAATATATATTTTCATTTGACAGAGTAAGTCTTTAATCTTGGTACAATAGAGTCTCGAAAACTTGGCACTCGATAACCCGGCAGTCTGGATAACTCGGCCACAGCCTGGCAGGGCAAAAAAATCCTTAGTTAATTAATTTTCATTATAGACAGCTTTATGCCTCATAAAGTATTTTTCTGAGGTCTGTCTTATCAGGTAAATTACTGTAAACAGTGTATTCATTAATTTTCATTATCATGTAGTAAAGGCTCTATGCCTTCATAAAGGACGTACTGTTCCTTTGTTTAAGAGTATTTGGGCAGTTTATTCTCTGTTGTATTCTCAAGTAAACAATACATACAAGTACAGTACAGTATTTTCTGAGGAAACACTCATACTTATTTTTTCTAACCCCATTCCCGATAACCCGGCATTTTCACAAACTCGGCCACCCTTTGGTCCACATTAGGCCGAGTTTTCGAGACTCTACTGTATTATCAATATTAAAATTTTTGAAGGAGGTTTGTTTCATTAATTCTCTTTGTAATTAGTTATTTTGACTGTCTTCAATTATGTAATCAGTATTCTGTTCTACACAAATTTATTATCTGTTAATATGGTTAATTATTGGTATTAGTAATGTACCACTAATATATGTATTGTAATATATAATTTGGGATGGCTGAGATTGTTAAAGTATCAAGCTATTGCTCTGGGGGCCTGAGATAAAATATGAGTGTTTGAAAAATGCCAGAAAGTTTTTGGAGTGGTCTTTCCAGATATGTCTGCACTATCTGTCATTGTGGGTCTGGCTGAATGTACAATGAGCTTGATAAAAAGGCTTTTTTAGTAGTTTTTAGGCATTTTAAGATCATTTCTATTGTTAAATTTGTAAAGTTTCATATGTATCTAGCTAATGGATTTAATTTGGCAGCTAGGACATTCATATATGTTCAGTGGCTTTAATCATCATATATCAGTTCTAACTGGATACTATTATGTCCATCAAATTCAATTGCTTTGCAATCTAATTCTGTTTCTCACAGCATATTACTTTTGTGGTATTACTGTGAATAGTACTTATTGAAATGATATTAATTGACTTTTAACAAGTTGCAGAGTAATACAAATTGTGGAAAGTGAGTTTATATTTTTGACCAAGGGAGATTTTTAGCAGTAGTATTTTACACTTGCTTTTTGCCTGAGATGTAAATGAGTGTGTGTGTGTGTGTATGCTTTTGTGGATTTATAATTGTGCAATAAGTCGAAACCTGTTCTTTCACATAGGGATTTAGCTATGAGTTTATAATTTTGCTCAGTTGTGTAGATATGTCAAATTCTATCATTTCTGAATTAAGATGACACAGTAATTATAACATTTTAAAAAGGATACTTAATAACATTTACGAATTATTTCATTAAAATCATTTATTATCTGAATTACTTGTAATTATATAAGTAATACCTGAAAGAATCTTTAATCATAATAAGTAAGTTTGGTCATACATAAATAGTAGTGTGGTTGATATTTGTTCAAGTATGATGCAAAGTTTTGTGAATCATAAAATTAATCATCATATTATTTGATTTACATTCTATTTGTTAATCAAGACTGATTTATTTGAATGTTTTAATAACTTGCATCTAATAAAATCGATTAATGTTCAATTTTAAAGAGAAAATGAGTGGATTAAAATGAATGTAAATTGATTTTTTTTTAAGATTAAAGCATAAATTTTGTGACAAGTAAAGTTTTTAAACTGTTTTTGTCTTTTTGGTGTTAAGAATGAGTTTTTGAATATTCGTTGTGTGTTCAGCCGGGCCTACAATAGCAGTGGGCAAATGGCAAAGAATGCAGCTCAATGTGTTCAAATTAATTTTTACATAAAATCTAATTATAAGCACCAGCGTGATACTCTAGGAAATTTTGGTTCAAATATAGAATAGAGGTTGCGGCCGAAGTTTTCATCTCTCAAACGTGAACGTCGAGCGCCGCT